TCTGTATAAAAATAAAATCATGCTTTCCTTTATTTTTGCCATTTAGCAGTTGATTTTTAATTTAATAAAGGTCTTAGAATTTGAATAGAAATTCTTACACCGACACCAGGAACAAAGGGGCTAGCCAATGAAGAATTGTGTTATATGATCAGGAACCTGGTTTTTAACTGGGAGGGCCAAGGCAGGTATAAGAGCCTTTAATTAAACTCCAAAACAAGGCGTCATAAAGAATGATGAAAATAGAAAAGATGTTAAAGAAACTACTGAAAAGGTCTTTGGTGAAGGTAGCAGAGAAGCTAGTCCAAAAAAATTCCTTGTGGCTTGTGTGTGCTTGTACATGCACACCCATACTTCTTAAATGAAGATTTACAAATAAAGAAAATGGAAAAGTTAATGTGATTTCAAACAAAATTTAACCCTATTTAATATTGACCTCTAAAAATAAAACTTCAGCATTTGGCAGATTGTGTTGGGGGATTGTTAGGCCTAGGTGAGGTTCTTGTAACTACCCTGTGCTAACCATGTGACCAAAGACTAATTCATTGCTGAGCCTGAGTTTTCTCATCTCTGAATGGGGATGGTAATAGGCACTCCTGCCTCGGTTCCTGGCACATAGCAAGAACTGGATGGAAAAGACTAATATCACACAGACCAAGTGGCATAGGGTGTCTCAGTACTGCTGCTGCTGGTGCTGTCAAGTCAGTTCTCAGTGATCTTATCTAATGAGTCAGCACTAGCCTGAAGAGAGGTTATTAGTGCCCCTCTGAAGAATAAAGCATTATAAATTAGGACTTTCCACATTTGCAAATGATAGAAAGCTAGAAGATGGTTATCAAATGCAGACTACAGATTTTTTAATGTATGAACTAACTGGAAGTATAGGCCCCAAAATGCAAAACTTGATAGGGATGACTATTACAGTCTCATAGTAAGCTCAGAACACTAGGCAGTTCCGGCAGGGCGGCCTTGTTTGACAAACTTGCCTGCACATAGGAAGATGTATTTACCCTCTTGGTAGAATGACATTACCTTCCATTCACTTCTCATTTGGAAAACTCAGGGTTAGACTTCCCTCTTCCTTAGCTTTCCCACAAGGCCTCTCATCAGGTCCTAAATTATTGTGAATCTTTCCATCACTACAGCACTCAACTCACTCCCAACTGATCTCCCTCCATCCATTCTTTTTCATATCTGTTTTCTACACATAAACCCCTTATTTCTCCCCAGCTTCAACCCATTTAGTGATCTCCCAGTCTCCTTCACGTGGTCTCCAGGCCTTGCAAGATCTCACCCCTCTCTGCAATCTCCAGGCCTTGCAAGATCTCACCCCCTCTGCAATCTCCAGGCCTTGCAAGATCTCACCCCTCTCTGCAATCTCCAGGCCTTGCAAGATCTCACCCCCTCTGCAATCTCCAGGCCTTGCAAGATCTCACCCCCTCTGCAATCTCCTCACCCACTTTTGCCTTCAAAACCTAATACTTGAGCAAACATCTCTGCTCACTGCCTACTAATCCAGAAGCTTCTCTGCCGCTCTGTGCGTGCTCTTGCCGTTAACTTGTCAGTCTGGACTTACCTGCTTGGTGCATGCTTCCTCTTCCTTCAGAGTGGATCGTTCTGTCCAGGTGCACCGGCCCTGCTGTGCAGTGCTTCTCTTGCTCCCTCTCAGGTTGTAAATTGTTATGTAATGACTGCCTGATTCAACTGTAAACGTCATGCAGGCCAGCACTGCCCAGTGCCAAGATAATGGCTTCTCTTTAAATAGCTGATGAAGAAATGAATTCTCAAGGATTTTAATTGGGTAAACGCAGAGTTTACATTATTTCTACTGAAAAAGCTAATATTATCAGCCTGTCACATCATCAGTGCCAAATGAAGCTGTCCTCTGTCCTGAGGACCCAGTGTACTGTATTTATATCACTACTTTTTTAAGAGTAATAGGCTGGGGTACAGCTAAAAGAAAATAATTAGCACTATAGAAGGCATGTTATCTGAAGTAGTTTGGAGGTAATGTTACAGTTGTTCTCAGATCTTTGAAAGGATCACGGTGAGCAGACAGAGTGGTGGCTCTGTTACATTTAGAGTTCCTGGTATATAAAAGTACATTTCAATTCAACTAGAATTTTTTTATTTAAAAAAAAAACAGCATTGTAAAGACAGCCCACCCCAAATCACTGCTTTACACTTTGAGCTTAGATATTTTAAAAAACAAAAACTGTGTGCAGTTGTTGTTTGGATTAGATTGACAACAATGCTGTCTGTAAGGAATTAGAGTAACACCTGGTGATTTACTGGTCTGCTTGTTTCAGCTAAGGGATGGATATCAGTCAGATAAACAGAGATTGAAGCCTGAGCTTGCACCAAGTGAGGAGAAAATATCAGGACCACTGTTTTGCTGCTTGCATGCTACTCAGCTTCGAAATGTGAGGGTTTCAGGCCACGGGTGTTCATACACTACATATTAGCACTCTCTTTGCTCCAAGTGCTGAATAGCTTGTACTTCCCTGCTGTGGGGTCAGGATTTGCAGAGAAATAAGTGGAGTCGCAATGTTGCTAAGTCATCTCTGGCAACTCAGATATGCTGTCACAGAAGCACCACCAGGCCCAGCTTCTCTACTCTTTCTAAACTCTAATGTGAGAAATCTCCACACAACAAACTGTCTAAATATGTTTGCTTGCTGCTTATATTTTAAAATTAAGATAATGCATGCGTCTTGTTTCTTTTAACAGTTTTTCGGATACAATCAATGTATACATGAATTGTAGATTATGTGCATTCAAGCTAAAAATAATGGAAACCATAATATTCACCACTCAAAGATCATCATTTCTAATACTTCAGTGCATATTCTTCTGGACCTTTCCATATATGCTATGAAGGAATACACATGTTCTTGTGTTTTGGAACCAAAGAAAAAAATAATTTATTGTATTCTTAAGACAGTTGTATACATACTGTCCTGCAGTGTCTTCTTTAGCAAATGAATTACCTTAAATTTTTTTATTTATTTATTTTTATGTATATGTTTTGCCTGCATGTATTCAAGTGTAATACCCATGAAGGCCATAAGAGGGCATCAGATCCCCTGGAACTGGAGTTATGGACAAATTGTTAACTGCCATATGGGTGCTGGGAACTGAACCTAGGTTTTTTGCAAGAGCAGCCAGTGCTCTAAAGTACTGAGCCATCTCTTCAGAATGGTACGTTTTACTTTCAAAAAGTATATCTAATACCTAGACCATACTTAAAATTTTCAGTTGCACAAAAATATCCTTTAAGGTTATTTTATCCAAACCTGGTATTCAATCCAGGAGCACACATTCCATCTTGTTTCTATGCCCACTACTTTCTATTTGTCTCTTTTTGATGAGAGTGACTTGTGGAGTGAACTGATTCTGTTGTTTCCTGAGATGCCCTGGCTTCTTTGCCTGATTCACTTGAGGTGCCATTGAATCTGTGTCTCCTAAAAACTTCAAGTCATATTTACAATCAAGCTTTGGCTAAAATATTTCATAGATGATGTGTGTGTGCTTTGTGTTATGTCTGAAGACCTGTGTATCCCAACTGGCCCATTTGAGATCTACCACTGACACTAAGATCTGGATTGGAGTTTGATCTTTGACCCTTTGTGACTGAAATGTTAGCTATATTGTGTTATCTAGACTATATGGTGGCTTGGGGACTGAAAATCCATGTCTCTATTACATGTTGTGGTTCACTCGAGAGTTTTAAGGACCAAGTTAATAATCCTTGTATGACTCAGTGCTTAGATTATGAAATTTTTTTTTTCTCCATCAGTTCACCTGTATTTAGGAGTTGGCATTCTGTAAGGTCAAGCTTTTCCTGGTTACCTGGTGTTATTAGTTACTCTGAATGACAGTTTCTGTTGGAGAGGAAAGATACATTCTTAACCAATTTTCAAAGTAAAGAATTAGTTTAAGGGTAGGATGTGGTAGCACACACTTTTAATCCCAACTCTTGGGAGGCAGAGGCAGGCAGATCTCTGAGATTGAGGCCAGTCTGATCTACCTAGCAAGTTCCAGGTCAGCTGTGCTACAGGGTGACCCTGACCAAGAAAAGAGTAAAATAAAATTAGTTTAATAGCTGTTTGAGATAGTTGACAGATGGCTTATTTGTTTGCATTTCCTGGCTTTCTCTCTTTATAGTTTTGTGTCTCCAGCATTCTGTTGGTCAATGTTGTGTGTGGTTTTCAGAGTCAGAATTTGGGGAGAAAAGCCACAGTCAACTCTCTGCCTTTCTACTCTAAGTACCTTCTGTTCTTTACCTTCTTTTTGGATCATGTGTTGAAATTACTGTCTTGATTGCTCATCATTGTCTGTTGACTTCTTGCTGTGAAAAGGAAGCCCCTTCCCTTCCACTCTCAGTGTACATGTATCAGAAAGCTCCCACATTGTTGTCTTCCTTTACCATCCTCCCAAATTGCCCTCACAGTTTACACTAAGTAGATATTCCACCTTAGCACTGTGACCCCTGAATAAAGTATTCACAACTGATGAGCAAATGGATTAGTGTTCTCTTTGTACAATGTTTTTCCTCTAGGAAGTAATTAATTGACTTGATTTTTATGTAAATAATTTTTCTTCACCTATTTCCTGATTCCGCCTGAAAACTTTTTAAATAAAGGTGTGAACCTCCTTTCAGTGACATCAGTACTTCAGTGTTTCGTTTGTTCATTTTTCTCTTGACAGGGGCTCTCCTGGAACCTTCTCCTCCCTTTTCTCTCTAAACTGCTGTCTGTACCTGCTCTATGCTTATTGCCCAGGGGCTGTTTCTCATCATCCTAGGAAATCTACTTGTCTCCCTACCATCAGGGATCCCCTGCCATTTGATCCCCCATTTTCTTCTCTGTGTGTGTGTGTGTGTGTGTGTGTGTGTGTGTGTGTGTGTGTGTGTCTTTTTGAAACAGGGTCTCCCTGTAGCCCCCAGCTGTCCTGGAACTTACTATGTAGACCAGGCTGGCCTTGAACTCACAGAGATCTGCTTGCCTCTGCCTCCCAGTGCTAGGATTAAAGGTATGTGCCACCTCACCTGGCTGGATCCCCATTTTCAAGATCTCATTCATTCTTCTGCTTTGACATGCTCCTTCATTTTTGTTAGCATAGCTATCCAATTTCTAAGAAGGATGGCATGGGGCAAAATTCCCGAGATGACTTCTTTTTATTTATTTATTTTTGTTTTATGTATATGAGTCCAGCAGTGTGAGACCTTTCAGTAAGAATCTTATGATATTCTTATTCTGAGTCTTCCTGTATTACAGTGTCTTTTCTGGAAGCTGTGTGATCTCAACTTTGTTTCTCGTGTGTTGAAATTTCGTAATGATAAGCCTTCCCATGCTTTGTTTATTCTCTGGCTACTTTCATTCTAGAAACATGTTTTTCAGGTCTAGGAACTTTCTTGGTTTATCTCTTTAATAATTTATTTTCCATAGTCCTTTCTGAAGAAATCTTATTGGATGTTTATCTTCCAATTTTCTTACCTGTTACCTCCTAATTTGTTTTGGTCTCTGGATTATTTCTTCAAATTTACTTTCAGCCACTGTTGAACTTTTTGCTTCTGTTAGACTTTTCACTTGGCTGTAGCAGCTGCATAAGGGCTGTTTTATGTCCTCTGTCCTTTTTTTTTAGTCTTTTTGAGACAGGGTCTCTCTGTAGCCCCAGCTAGCCTGGAACTCACTATGTAGACCAGGCTGGCCTTGAACTCACAGAGATCCACCTGCCTTTGCTGGAACTAATGGTGTGTGTCACTACACCTGGCTTCTCTGTGCTTTTTTAAAAGCGTTCTGGTCTTGATTCTAAGTTGCCTACCCTGACTTGCTTCTTTATTAAGCAGGCCTTTAGCCCTTCTTTGTTTTAGTCAGGGCTTTCATCACTTCCTGGTGATCTTTAAGTGTTAGTCGTGTTTGAGAAGGAGGAACTGAAAAGCTAATCAGGAGTTTGTGTTCATGCCTGTCTTGATTGTTTCTTTGAGATGCTGTATTGTTGTATAACCCATGCTGGCCTAGAACTTGCTGTATAGCCCACACTAGCCTCAAACACTGTCTCAGCCTCATGAGTGCTAGGATAGATAACAACCTCCAGTCACCGGGCTTGGCTGCTGAGGTACCTTAATGCATTCAAGCTGCTGACAAGGTACCGCTGATGGGTGGGGTCTGAAAGCCTGAGATTAGCAACATTACGGAGTCTTCTGAGGGCTTCTGGGCCTCTTCTGATGGCTTCATTGCCTCTTCACACAAGAGGAAGCAGGCTCTCTAGATGTTTTTGAAAGGATTCTAATCTCCTTCATGAGGGCTCCATCATGACCTCATCTGATTCCAATTACCCCCAAAGATACCACCTCTAATATAGTCACATGAGGGGTTAAGGTTTCAACATAAGAAACGGGCCTGCAAGCATTTATTCCATAACAGCAAGGGTTCTTGCATGGTCCATCTTGGATAGATGTCCTGTGGTTTGATTGGGATAGTTCCTTTACTTGGCAGAATTGCTAGTCCTTTGTCTTGGGCCTTTAATTTCCCAGAAAGGAATCCCCCTGAATTTCCCTGTCAGAGCCTGTCGGTGTGAGAAGGCTAGACATTTTACTGACAACTCGAACACTTGACTAAATCCCCTTTTCAGCTGTGCCTGGGTTCTGGAATCCAGAAACTCTGTAGTTCAGAGAATCATCTTCCTTTCTCCTGGTGTGACGGTAAAGAAATCATCACCTTACTGGGCTAGCTTGGGGAGGGGTTGCTGTGGTTTTGATAGTGCAAACCTGTCAAAACCAGCCGTCTCTTCGTAGTCCCTTATCACAGTGTAATGTAGGGGTACTTGGGAACCTTTGTAGTGTTTTCTGAAAATAATAATAAAATAGCTAAAGCATATATAACTTTGCATAAATTAACTCATTTAGTGGTGTGACTTGTAGCATCAGTACAATCAGTATCTCCCTTCAGTAGGAAATCAAAGCACAGTGAGGCCAGGTACCCACCGGGATTCACAAGAGGAACAAGTGGGACTTGAAACAAAGCAGTCTCTTAATCTGACACTGCCTTTAAGTACCGGTGAGCCTATCGGCCTCATATGGTTTCCCATCTCTGCAAGCTTTGTCTCCTCTGCTAAGCCAGTTCTCCCTGGTCTACTGACTTCTGCCTCCAACGTGAAGGCTCTCCTCTGCTTCCTGTCTTTCCCATTCTTGGTGCTTAGACCTGTTGTACTACGTCACTGTCATGAGAACAGAAGGAACAGAGAAGAATGCTGGTATCAGCCCATCGGGTTTGTTTCTTCGATGTTTGTTTTTTTTTTATATTTTATTTATTATTTTTATTTTATGTGTATAAGTGTATTGCCTGCATGTGGGTAAGTGCACCCGTGTTGTGCAATGCCTGCAGAGGTCAGAAGAGGCCATTCGATCTCCTGGAACTGGAGTTACGGACAGTTGTTAGCTGCCATGTGGGTGCTGGGATTCCAACCCGGGTCTTCTGCAAGAACAACCAGCATTCTTAACCGCTGAGCCATCTCTCCAGCCCCTCAATGTTTACTTTCTATTGAATGTTTGTAGATTTCATGCAATACATTTTAATCATATCTAAACCACCCCTATCTGCAACCCCCAGCCTGCCCACAGGATTTCACGCATTCTGTCTTACATGTTAAAGCCTGTCGAATCAAGGGTTTGTGTACCCAGCCGTCTCTCACTCAGTCCATGGTTTTTAATGAAGTTTCTCAATGTTCTTCATACTTTCTCTGTTTTATGTCTGGACGTATTTTCCTAATATTTGCGGGCTTATATGTTTTTTCCATTGTTTCCAGGTTGCCGAACAGGTGAAGCAAAACTGACCAAAGGATTTAATCTAGCTGCTCGGTTCATCATTCACACAGTGGGACCTAAATACAAGAGCCGCTATCGCACTGCAGCAGAGAGTTCCCTGTACAGCTGTTACAGAAACGTGCTTCAGCTGGCAAAGTATGGCCTGCCCGCTTCCTCCCTACACACGGTTCCCGCTTTGAAAGACTAACCCTTACCATGGATATCAAACTTGGAGGGGCTCAGATAATACCTCTCTAAGAGTATGCTTAAATTATGTGCTCTAATATAATTATCGAATAGTATAATTGAGTTCACTACTGTAAATTTACTGAAGACGGAGGGAAGATGCTGACCTGTATTTTGAGATTAGTTATGGATTATGCGTGTTTGGTAATTGTTTTAATACAGTGTTCATGTTTTCTGTTTGATTTCAGAGAACAGTCAATGTCATCTGTTGGATTCTGTGTCATTAATTCTGCAAAGCGAGGTTATCCTCTAGAGGATGCAACGCACATTGCTCTTCGTAAGTAACAGTGGAGAAACCACACACAAGTCAAATTCTTAGTGTTTTCCATTACTAGATGAAGTTAGAACCAAAGAAAATTCATGACTGAATGATCATGGCATTCTGGGGAGACTTTGTGTTGATAACATGTAGCTCTCTCAGTTTCCTTTCTCAGGTTGATGGTTTTAATGCCTTGAATGAAGGCTTAGAAGACTTGTTAAATTTCCAGGTGATACCAAACTAGGAAGTATGGCCAGTGCGCTGGGTAATTGAATCAAAATGAAGAATTATTGTAACAGTTTGCAACAGTTCAGTCAGAACAAATTTCATAGCACGTTATTTCTGTTTAGATAGCAGCTTTCACACATATGCTCCTTCAATATAAAACTGCAGTTAAGCCCAAACTGACCCACACTGTCATACATGGTATAGGAGTACAGTGTTGGGCTAAAGATGTAGCTCAGAAGGAGAATGTGTGCTTAGAAGGCATAAGTTTCCAGATCCAGTTCCCAGCACTTTTCAACTAGTGTCCCGCTTGAGAGTCCGTGACCTCCATTCTGGCCACAGCTCAAATTTTGAATACAGTTTTGGAGATCACAGCTCACAAGACACTGATAAACAAGAAGACATCTCAAAACATTAGTGATATTCTTTTAAAGAACATGCTTTTTGCAAATATGAGGCCCATCTTCAAATACATGAAGGAGTCTCAATGTGGCTTTATTCTTTATTTTCTACGTGATGGTTCTTTGAAGGGGTGGGTGTCATCATAAACTACATCATGTATCCGATGAAAGAATGCCGTGGACCCTTTGTCCAAAACTGTTCATAAATATAGAATTTACATGCTCTTTCAGGAAGTTTACAGACCCTTGGAAGCAGGCAGTAAGAATTCAACTACAGGAGGCAAGGTCTAGGCAAATAACAAGTAGAAGATCTGAGTCCCATTTGAGATGGAATTGTGTAACAAAAGTATTTTAGAACTTCTTGTCACTAGGATCACCAACAGAGCAGCAGTGTGGCCTCCTTAAATGTTCCTGAATTCTCTCCTCTGCAGTGTTCTGTGTAAATAATCCACAGCATTGTTTCCCTGGATCATGATACTTCACCTCCAGCTGTGAGACTAGTTCATAGTAACTGATAAAGATTATACTGAGAATGAGGGTATTTAGTGAAACAATTTCTAGGAATTTAATTGGCAAAAAGGAAGCAATTAGCTCTTAAAGTGAAAAAGTTAAATTGTATAAGGTCCATTTGATTTATACCTTAAATCTAGTAGTAAAACTGTACAGCATCTCATTTAAAGCAACCACACAGATAATGATGGTACTTTGAGAACTTTCTTGAGCATTTGAAAAAAAATGGCTTCTACACGTTCTTAAGTATATATGTGATAAGAATATTTTATTTATTGTTTTTATTTTCATGTGTATGAGTGTATTGCCTGCATGTGTTTAAGTGCACCCATGTCATGCAATGCCCAAGGAGGTCAGAAGAGGGCGTTGGATTCCATGGAACTGGAGTTACAGACATTTGTTAGCCACCATGTGGGTGCTGGAAACCAAACCCCAGTCCTCTGCAAGAGCAGCCAGTGCGCTTAACCGCTGAGCCATCTCTCCAGCCCCTATCTTTGTTTTCTTTTTTTTCTTTTCATACAATTAAGTTCTTCAGAAAAAGGCTAAAGAAATATCGACATTGAAGTAAACCTATCAGTTTATTTATTCATTCAAGAAAATATGAGTAACTGTGTGCTAGGCTCTGTGTCGTGTACAGGAGGATGCAGTGGTAAGGAAAAAAGAGGATGGTATTTGTTCTTACTTTTCCATGTTGAAAATCTCAGGGTCCCACATGGCGTTCATGCCACTTGCAGGGTCACTGAGTGTGAAGCACGTGCATCCTGGTGGCTGCAGAGGAGTGAGCACAGATGCAGCTCATGGTGCAGTGGGCAGTGCCAAAAGCTGAGTCGCCATGGTTCTGAACAAACACTGAGGTCTCTGTGATTATTGTTTGGCATTTTACTTTTGTTTTCTATCGGAAACCCCACAGTGATGTGTTGAGGAACACATGTGAACATTTAACTTTGATAAGTATTCAGTTTTTTTAAGAGAAAAAATATGAAAGCAGAATAGACATGAAGAATTGATTTGTACCTAACAGGCAGAGCTACAAATGTTCCTTCAGTTCTCAGTGAATGAGTTGCTATGGTAGATTTTTTCAGTACATGGCTCACCAAGCAGGCCATAAATTATTAACTTAGCTGTAGTTCCTTCTGAATGCGTGCTTATCATCCCCAAGGTCCCCCAGGTCTCAGTTAATGTGATACTAATGTAAAATGTGCTTTAAGAAGTTCCATATCCCAGCTGTAAGAAGTTTACAGATAGAGGGATGCTGAGGAGATGAGATGCTTTCCATGTGCTTGCGTCCCATTAAACCTAGTGTATGCTTGAAAGTTCCTAAGTCAAACCCAAGCAATGTAAGTGAAGGATATTCTGTTCAGAGGAACACAGGAAAGGGTGGGGTTCTGCACAAGGCTTATGACTGGACCTTGAAAAATTGTGCATAATTCACTTAATGATGGATCTATGTATTCTGCTCAAAAGTAACCTACTGACAGGTAAGACATCGTAAAACTTCAAGTGATATGTTTTAAATATTCCCTCCAAAACAAAGACAGATTGGACCTGAGTGTAAGATGTGTGGGAGGAATTATTGAAAATCGTACTAAGGAGGTTGTTAGCTGGGGACAGAGTGAGGTGAGTTGTGGTAAGGGCTTTGAATCTTGACTTACAAACAGTACAGTCATTTGATACGGAAAATGTAAGAAGATAACTCGGGCTGGAGAGATGGCCTCTTGCAGAGGACTCAGATTCGATGAGCACACACACATCGGCTAACAACTGTCTATAACTCCAGTTCCAGGGAATCCAATGCCCTCTTCTGACCTCTGTGGGCATTACACCTCATGGGGCACTTACACACATGCAGGCAGTACACTCATACACATAAAAAATAAAATAATTTTTTTTTAAAAAAAGAAGATAACGGGGCTAGAGAGATGGCTCAGTGGTTAAGAGCACTGACCGCTCTTGCGGAGGACCTGGGTTCAATTCCCAGCACCCACATGGCAGCTACGAACCATCCTTGACTTCAGTTCCAGGAGAATCTGAAGCCCTCTTCTGACTTCTGTGGCACTGCACAACACAGATGCACTCACATACATGCAGGTAATACACTCACACACATAAAATAAAAATAATAAAATATTTTTTTTAAAAAAAGAAGATAACTCAGGCAACAGGAATGGGTAGACTTGCAGGGCGTGGTGGTGCACACCTTTAATCCCAGCACTTGGGAGACAGAGGCAGGTGATTCTCCGAGTTCCCGGCCAGTCAGGGCTGCATAGCAATACCTTATCTCAAAGTAGGGTGGGGGATTTAAGAGTTTATTGCCATAATGTGTGTGAGCATTAATTCCTTAAAAGAAACTAAAAGAGAAGGAATTGATGTTAGAAATGTTAGCAGTAGAATTAAAAAGATCATGAAAAGATATTTGAAAATATAGGATGGAAGAAATAGAGTGTCAAAGAAAAGTCAAGGGACAGTGAGGTGGCTCTACAGGCAAAGGCACTTGCCACCAAGCCTGATGACCTGAGTTCAACCACAGATCCCATATGGTAGGAGAGAACGTATTCTTGCAAGTTGTCCTCTGACCTCCACATACACTATCTCACAAGTGCACATACTTATACATAATAAGTGTAAAAGTGTGTCTAAGGAGAGGGGCTGGAAAGATGGCTCAGCAGTTAAGAACACTTGCTGCTATTGCAGAGGATCAGAGTTTGGTTCGCAGCACCTGTGGTTTACAACTTCCTGTAACTCCAGTTCCAGGTCTGTGGGCACCCACATACGTACATTTAAAACAATCTTTTCTTTAAAAAAGAAAGAAAGAAAATTCAGTATTCAGGTTGGGTAAATAGATGCTGGTACGTAACTGAGGTAAGGAATACATATGTAATGGGAGTGAGGATTTGAACCTGCTGGGGTCACATTTGGACACATTGAATTTGAGGTCTCTATGGTTATCTCAGTAAAAATGCCAAATAATCAGCAGTTTAACTCTTTGGTTCAGAAAACAAATTACAAACTTGAGTAACCATCAGCATTTCAGGTAAAACTTAATCAGCAAATAGTGAACTAAGGAAAGTAAGTCTATCAAGGAAACAAAACGTAGGCATTTTTAGAAGGTAGTGGCATGGGCATAAAGGACCAAAGCCAGGGAGGTTTAAGGAAAGGCCATTGGGCCTTGATAGAGAAAATTCAGGATAACACAGAGATTAAGAAAAAGATAACTCAGCTGGCTTTGTGAGCCAGCGACAGGCTGAGTGGAACATCAGCCGCTGTAACTGAATGAGTGGAGAGGCACAATGCTCTCCATTTGTGCTGGATCATTCTGAGAGCGAGGCCCCAGGGAGTCAGGGGAACATGCTGACTAAGGGAGAATGGTCTGGAGTCAGCATCTTCTGTAGGGACACTGGAAATAGAGCAGCAGGTTCAGTAGAGAGCCTACTGTTTTGGGGGACTGAGGGCAGAGAGGACATGTGTTACCCGGACCTCTGCAAAATGTCTGACAGCAGATCAGAGAAGGACTTCATAGAGGGAGATAGGTGGGCCTTTCTGACAAGGCGTCATTGAGCAGTGGCTGAATGAAGTAAGGAATGGTCATTACAAAACTGAAATTTGAAGAGTTTGATTTTTCTTAATACAAAGTCATTTCTTACTGAATCTTCATTCCCTTCCTTAGGTACTGTGAGGAGATTCCTAGAGATTCATGGAGAAACCATTGAAAAAGTAGTATTTGCTGTCTCTGAACTTGAAGAGGTATTTTACTAATTATTCTGCTTAGTTTAAATCTTTTTTTTTAACTTCTTATTTATTTTTATTTTATTATATAGATGTTATGCCTGCATGTGTGTGAGTGCACCTGTATCATGCAATGCCCACTGACACCAGAAGAGGGCGTCAGATCCCCTGGAACTGGAGTTAAAGAGGCTGTTGGCCACCATTGTGGGTGCTGGGAATTGAACTCAGGTCCTCTGCAAGAGCAGCCAGTGTTCTTAACCACTGAGCCATCTTTCCAGCCCCCTTAGTTTAAATCTTAACTCTACCCATGCTTGCTTTCATCTAGTCACCTAGCTACTGAATTTCAAGCAGACAGATCATAATGTTCTAGGTTTATTTTTGACGGTGGGGCTTAAACTCATTCATTGGAAAAAATTGTATTGGAAATTAAAAACAAGCAAAAAGAGAGCTTTTCCTGTTTAATGACAGTGTCTCACAATGTGTACCAGGCAGTACTCAGGCTTGAGGTGATTCTCCTGCCTTTGCCTCCCAAGTGCTAGGATTTCAGGCATGGTCTACCAGTCCTGGCTAAGAAGACTTTGATTAACATTTTCACTGCCTAACTATTGTGCTGTTAAATGAAATGCCTCACAAGCATCACCTTGTAAGCCGACCACTGAACTTCTGGGTTTCTGCAGCACAGCTGGAAAACAATAGCTGTGCTGGTGAAACATGGCATCTACCATACCCAGGTGACAGCCTAGCTGAGTGGCTGGCACCAAGTTGAGGGGTTTATATGTTTTTCTTGGGTTTAGTTTTCATTAAACCCAAATCCCTTTTAGAAAGTTGGATTGTCATTTTTGTCTTTTTGAGCTTTATGTAGCTCTAGATGACTCTCCCACTCAGCATCTGCTGTTTCTGTTTTGTATCCCTAAGCAGCTTGCGTAGCCTCTCAGTATAGGAATAGGGTTACACTTGGTTGGTTTGCACAGATAAAATGTATTCTCTAGTACATTGATACTGTTTTTAGGAATTAGCTAGGCAGTGTGCTCTAGCCACTAAGCTTTAAGATGGGAGAGCATCATGAAATGCAGAATAATTTTAAAAAGAGCATCGTTCATAACCATTGCTTTAAAAGTAACACACAAATGACAGTGTAAAGAAATTTCACATTACAGAAATGCAAGCCTCTGCCACAAGATATCACTTCACACTTAGAAAGCAGCATGCCAGCTACTTGGAAGTTAAACAGTTACAATATAATGCAGCACATTTATTCTTAAGTATATGCAGAAAAGAATATAAAGCACATCCACACAAAAATTTGAAGATGAATATCATAGCATCATTGTTCATATTAGCCAAAAAGCAGAAACAAGCCAGACATGGAATTGATGAGCAAATGTAGTACATACAGACAGTAGAAGATTACTTAGCCTTAAAGGAGTGGAGGGCTAGTACCTGTTACAAGGTGAACCTTAAAACTTGCTCTGCTAACAAAGTGGACACTAAAGTCCCCTTTTTGAAATTTTTGAAACAGGGGACTCCATTGAGACAGAAAGATTGGTAGCTTCCAGGGGTTATAAAAGCGAGAAAAAGAATGAGTGCTAATAAGTTTGGAGTGATGAGAATGTTCTAGAATTAGATGGTGATGATCATACAACTTTGACAGTATATTAAGAATAACTTAATAACTGAATTCTAGTCTACATTTTCAGCAGATTAGTTTTATGGTATATGAATTTTATCAGTTTTTAAAAATATATTATTGTGTGTGTGCCTCTGTGTGTATGTATGTGGGCATGTGTGTGCATATATGTATTCATGTGTGGGTCAGAGGACAACTTCATGGAATCAGTTTACCTTTCCTGAGCCATCTTAATGGCCCTGGGGTTTTGGTGGTGGTGGTGGTTTGTTTGTCTTTTGTTGTCATTGTTTTAATGTAAAACTGTTCTCTCTGGTCTTCTAATGTATCTACTTAGAAAATGTACGGTAAGAACACTGAAGGATAATACTATTTTTAATGACTTTATTGACCTTTAAGGCAACTCCATCATTCTTTTGTGTTCTCACTATTTTAATTTAGTCTTTTAATTTTAAAATGTGTTTATTTTATACTTATGTACATGTATGTGTACTTACATGATTTTATGTGTACCACATACGTGCAGATGCCCAAGGAAGCCAGAGGATGTTGGATCCTCTGGAACTGGAGTTAACGAGAAGTTGTAAACTACATGATCTGGGTGCTGGGAACCAAATCCAGGTCCTCTGCAACAGCAGTACGTGCTCTTAAATGCTGAGCCGTCTCTTAGCCCCTCATTTAGTCTTTTTAAAAAGTGCAGTTTGGAATCGTTGATGAGTAATGCTGAATAATGGTAGAGTAACTCCTAGGATGCTGAAAAGGCAGAATGCTTCATTCTGGAGCATTCAGGAAGAATTGCCAGCACACAGCTTGTGATCTGCTGAGGATGCATAAATAGTGCAGTGGCCCACACATGTGGAAGTTATCAAATAGAATCTATCATATTCTCGTTCTTTCTGTTTTAACACACTGTCTGTTTTATTACTTTTTAGGTTAGCCTACAAAGTGATGGTTTCATCCTGGCATCAGCTTTATACTTACATCATACATTTTGTTCCCATTCACTTCTGTTTTCCATTGCCCTATTTTTTAAATTTCATTTCTTTTTCTGGAGGGGGCTATGAGGGAATTTTAGTGCCACGGCATACAGAGGCCAGAGCACAACCTTCAAGAGTCAGTTCTCCCCTTCTACTGTGTGGATCCTGGGGATCAATCTCAGGTCATCAGGCTTTGTGGCAAGTGCCTTTACCTTCTGAGCCATCTCAACAACCCTTTATTTCTTTTTCTAAAGTAAAATGTATCTTTAATCTTTGAAAAACTTCTAAGAAAGAATGAAAGTCAGCAGTCTGGAAAAGTCTTTGGTAAATAAAGGTAGAGGTGAGGTCAGCAGCAGCTGGACCTACCCAGACTTGGAAACCTTCCCGGTTTGAGCATTTTGTGTAACCTGACTAGCATTCTCCTCATGTTCAATGTAAGAAGTGATTGAGGCCCCAGAGAACTTGCAGTCTGAGCACAGGGAGGGGTGAGCCTTAGTCTTCATGGAGACTGTCTTCACAGCATGTGGACCATACTGCACACTGCTCAGGCTGCTTCCTCCCTTCATTGTTTTTCACAGATTGCCTTGCTTTTCTGACACAGGCTACTTACCAAAAGCTGCTACCTCTGTACTTCCCAAGGTCATTAAAGGAGGAAAGCCGGTCATTGCCATACCTGCCTGCAGATATTGGAAATGCAGAGGGGGAGCCTGTGGTGCCCGAACGACAGATTAGAATAAGCGAGAAACCTGGGGCTTCAGAGGGTGAGTGCGAGAGTTCTTTATCTCCTTTAATTAGATACAAATAGTGCTTTTCATTATGACATTTCATATAGACCCATCATGACTTTGTTCGTACCCATGCCTATTCCGCTCTTGCTCCTGTCCCGCTGGTCCCTTCTCTCAGAGAGCCCCTCTGCTTTCGTGTTGCATATGCTTAGAAATCTAGATTACACATACAAGGAAAAACATGTGCTGTGTCTTTCTGTACCTGGCTTATTGTGTTTAACATAGTGATCTCAAATTCCATCCATTTTCCTGTAAATCATGTGATTATTCCTCATTCTTTATGACTGAATAAAACTTGATTGAAGATAGATGATAGATAGATAGATAGATAGATAGATAGATAGATAGATAGATGATAGATAGATATATAGATACAGATTTAGATCTTATTTTCTTTTTCCATTCATCTTTTGGTAGGCATCTAGGCTGATTCCTTAACTTGGCTGTTGTAAATAATGCAACAGTAAACACGATCAAACATCTTTTTGAAGAACTTTCACAGTAATTTCCATAGTAGCTACACTAATTTATATTCCCACCAGCAGTATATAAGAATTTAGAGTTTACCCTTCTTAATTTTCTTCATTGGGATGCTAGGATACTGATGATGCAGCAGCCACTAAAGAAGTAGGAAGTTTATGTCACCTGTGTGTTAGGCAGTGGGGACTCACAGGTGGCTAGCAGCACGTTCACCCTAAGAAAGTGTAGAATCTCAGGCTCTACACTGTGGAACAGTAGTTGAGTATATTACTATCTCAAATTTTGACAGTGTCCTCTAGAAGCCACAGGTAACATTAAACACTAGACAAGAATGTTATAACCATGCTGCTTCTTTAGGCTTTATGCTCATGTAATCTGAAGTCATAGGTAAAGTATGTTAAGATGAGAGCCTTTCAGAATCAGTTCTGTGTGAAGCTTCTGCCAGCCTTCATATATGTAGATCATAAACCCCTTGGATGGAGACACGCCTTGTAAACGTCAGTGCTGGGACCGGATCTGAAATCAGATAGGGAATACTGTGAATACATCTTTTGTAGAAAGATCCTTGACTGCCTGTCATTATCAGAAGACAACTGTCAAAGTGGAAGGAATTGGAAATGATCGCAGATCAGGAATGTTTGTGAACCAAGTTTTGCTGAGCAGGTAGCCCTGCACTCTGGGGAGCCTCCAGTGGAGTAGACCTTTGAAGTACTAATGCCAGAATCACTAGGCTATCTTCTTGCTTGTGAATACCACAACAGCACGTTTCCTTTATCAAATGTATTTGGTTTGATACGGAGTAGAGAACAGCAAAATAAATTTCAAAGGGCAAGTCTGCGCAGTACATGAAACTAACCCATGAAGTAGCCCAAAGGGCCCTTCTCCAAGAAACTTGATTTGCAGATCAGAAAGTGAAGATACCTTACAGATACAGGCCTTAGTGCTCATAAATATTTTCAATAGAATGTTAAATCAAAAGAATAACAATTAAAATATCTAAACTCAAGCAGTGAAATAGATGTGGAGAAAGCCTACCTGGCATTCACTGGAGAAATTCACAGTGGTGGCATTACTTTAGGAAGTTCCTTATGGCCCAATACTTGTTTTTGTGCTTTTGCTTTTACTGTTAACAAGTTAACTAAGGCAATGGGCTTCCCAGCCAGGTAATCTTTTCCTTGGGGAGAGGCTCCTAGTAGCTAATCTTCTAAGGAATATATAAGTGGATCAGAATGTTGTCTACTTAGCTTGTAATGGAAATTATAACTTCTGTAGGCCAGAATGCTTATGTTGGCATGACCAGCATAGAAAACCAGGATGCTAAAGTACAATGGAAATACTTTATACTGACTATGGATCGTACCCTGTGATCATGGTTCCATCTTTATATAGTTACCTGAAGAAAGGGCTGGGGTTCAGGTGTTCCCCTCGATAGTGCTGCACAAATGTTCCCAAGCATTTGTTCTTTATACTTTTGTTATTGCTTTGCTATGAGCCATCTTTAAGCCCAAAGACTGCCCAATGACTTCTGTCTTTCTGCTGATAATCGTACTCCTCTTTCTTTCCTAAGGTTACTCTCAGGTCACCTTGGTTTGTCTTTACGTATTACTAAACTTCAGTCACACATGGATAAGCATTTTCTTTTGTTATTTCAGGTTCTTCAGCTGTCTAAATCTTATTTCAGTTTCATAATCTTGACCCCGGGTTTGGGTTTTCTGTTTTTGTTTCCTTGCACTCATTCCTCCTGCAGCATTTACAGTCAGTTTCGTTTACATCTGCTTTTGTGGCTCTCTGTTGATAGCTCTTCTTGTTGCAGACCACCAAGAAGAGGATGAAGATGAAGGCTTGGGCATGGATCTGTCTTTCATTGGCTCTCATGCCTTTGCTCGAATGGAAGGAGATATCGATAAGCAAAGAAGACTGATCCTCCAGGGACAGTTGTCGGAAGCTGCCCTGCAGAAGCAGCATCAGAGAAAGTAAGGCAGACCTGTTCAGACAGGTAGATGAGTGAAGAGACGAGAGGCAGAGGGGCCTGGCATCTGCTCGATGGTTTGATCTTAGGACAGCTCAGTAGGAAGATACTGTCCCCATTTTGTAAAAGTGAAGCTAAAAATTGAGTATTTGCTCAGTTAAAGAGTCTTGAAGCCAGTGGTCGTTCAGTTGCATGTCTGGCTTCAGAGTTCTTACCCTGTCTGTACTCTAATTGCAAAGCTTCTGTGTGGGGTCCTGTTCTAAAACCAGAAATTAGGAAAACGGAGAGGAAGTTTCAGGGTCTTTACTCGTGTTTACAACTAAAGCAGTTAAAGTCAATTTACCTTGAAGACATTCTGTTTTTTCCAAATGTTTCTGAATAATTCCTTTTAAAATCATAGGACTAGTAAAGGTTGGTGCCTCATAGAGTTGTAAGCACTGAATAACAACTATAGTGAGTTTGGTACCACACCTGGTACTTGCCAGGCTCTGAAATTGGTCACTGCTTTTTCTTCAGCACCAAGCAAACCACTTTTGAGCATTTGTACTGCCCATTCCTTTAGATTGGAATTCTTCATCAGTATTGTTCATACTTCAGGTTTGGGCTAAAAAGCAACTGCCTCTCAAAATGTCACATCTGGAATCTATGCCTCCTCCTATGTGTTTTTCTCACACCCTGTTCTTGCCAAGTCCTTGCTTCCTCCACTGTTTATGGTATCTGAATGCTGTCAGGTCCACTAATAAAGTCAGAGGTGGACTGGATACTCTCTGGAGTCCCTTACAGAATTAATGCTTTTTAGTGTTTTTATTTCTTTGAGACCTTCATCCATGTACATATTTTGGTCATTTTCACCCCTCAGTCCCCTCTCTCCTCCCTCTCCACTCCCACTGACCTTCATTCCCTCTCCTCCTTTCATGTCCAGTTCTGTTTTGTTTTTGAACCCACTGAGTCTAACTGGAGTTGCTTCCATGAGCCTGAGTAGGAGGCTATTACTAAGGCACGGGCAGCTTAGCAGTGACTACACCACTGAAGGAAATGTCCCTCTCTCCCCCAGCCAGAACTAAAATTTTGTGTCTGAGGCCTAGGTCTTCACTTTGTTCTGATTATTATTTGTAAAAACAAAAGTAAACTTACCACTAGGGGGCACCAGTGAACAGGTTTTTTTGTTTTGTTTTTCCAAATGATGCAGTCACTGCCAAATGATACTTTCAGTAGTTTCTAAGCTTCATTGTGTGTAGAATCATCTAGCAGTGATTTTTCTTTAAATGCAGTGACTGGGCTTTTCCCACCACATTACTGCAGTCTGTCTGTGTATGTGTGTTTTATAAACATGTTCATATCATGGTTTGTACATTCCTAAAGTGTTCTCAGATCCCTTTGCATTCTTACAAACAGTTGAGAGTCGCAGGGAACCTGTGGCTACATGGGCGATAGCTATCAATATTTGCCTTTCAGAAATTATTAGTTCATTTAAAAATGGCCAGTTATGTTTTTCAGAAAATAACTTATTTTGTCTTTTTGTACTTTTCAAGTGATTGGAGAGACTTTTCTATGCACTGCATAGAAGTTGATAAATGGTGATTTCTTAAAGTTGTAATGTGGACTCTCAAACCATATCCATTTTTTATATTTACTTCTTGTGTCTGCACGCACTTGTATATGTGCTATCATAGTGCATGTGTGGAAGTCAAAAGACAGCTTGAGGGAGTCACTTCTCTCCTTTGACCATGTGCATCCTGGGGCTCAAACTCATCTTGTCAGACTTGGTGACAACTTTACCCACAGTGCCATCTCAGCAACCCTCTGTACCCAAGAATTTTTGTATTCACTATTGAAATATGTTAGGGGTTTTTTTTGCACTATGAGCATGACTTTATAATGTTATGCATTGGTCTTTAGGTTGAAAAATAGTGATTTGCTGAAATTATTTCATTAACAAACTTCATTATAAAGTGTCAAAATATGTCTGTCAATACCAACACCAGTCTCACCACAAAAGTCAGGCCTCTCAACCGAGTACAATGATGCACACCTTTAATCCCAGCACTATGCATTCAAGGCCAGCCTGGTCTACATAGCAAGTTGCAGGCCAGCTTAGTGGAACAGCGCCTGTCTAGAATTGGGAATAGTCATGTGATTAGATGTAGGTTATTATAAAGTTGTTAATTTGTGTTTGGGATTGTCAATTTGATTAACTTACTACTTAAAAAATAAAGTTAGGTGTGGTGGTTCATGCCTATAGTCCCAGCACTTGGGACGCTGAGGCAGGAGGACTGCTGCAAGTTCAAGTCCAGCCTGGGCTAAAATGAGACTTTTCCTCAGAGAAAACTAATTACAAAACCAATTATCTTTTTAAAAAGGACTATGTACCAGTGATAAGAATGTTTTGAACAAGGATGGTTTATGCTGTTTTGTGAATCTAAGACCCGGACTTATTTCAGGAATTGTCTTTCAGAGTTCATTGAATACATTGAGTTTCTAGGAATTACCCTAGAGACTGGCTGGAAGTACTGAGTGCATAAGAAATATTCCCTGTCTTGTGGATGCTGGAATGGAAGCAGATACAGCAGTAACTAAGTAAAGCCCTACACTGACAGGTTGAATTGGGGGTACAGAATGGAGTGGTTATTTCTGCAAAGCTTTCTGGCACTTACACCTTCTTAGCCAGCTCCACCCGCCCCCAGTCTCTTCTCTAAACACATGCTTGACAGAATACCTAGACTTCTGTTGGCTTGTTTGACTTAGTCTATCTTATTACAAATTTAATTATCTCTATAATATGTACCTCATATATTTAGCCTTCTAGAAGTCAAGGGCCTTTTTCTTTATCTCAGACCTCTAAAGTACTTCCCATAATACTCCTACCTGTTATTCAGCAGTCATTTGAGTCTTTCTATGAAGTGTTTGCACAATATTTACTTGAAAAAAATGAGTTAATGGTTACATGAATAGTTTAGAAATGAACAGATATTTACCAAATCCTTTTAGAATCAATCCTTTGTGAGTTCTAACTACTGACATAAAATATACAACAAAAGAAATTTAAATAGCAATAAAATTTAAGAAAAATATAGTATAACAACTCTTTAGTGTTTATATTGTATTGTAAGTTAGCTAGAAATAATTTAAGTATCAGAAATGATGTACATTGGTCATATGCACATATTATGCCAGTTGGAAACAAGGGATTTGAGCATTCACCAATTTGGGTCCTTAAGCCAGTGCTCCTTGATACATGCTCTGTGCCTTACCACATGATTGCTCAGAAGACATTAAATTTTAATAGATGTAGTGTAGCTTTCATTTAGTATTCTTTTAGAGATGACTTAGAAAACAACCAGGAAAAAAAGCATATTTAAAAAACAAGAGGCCACACACATACTTTTATTCTCTCCCTTTATTTTGTTTTTGCTGTCATAACTGACCTGCTTTTATATTGTATATCCCTCCAGTTTCTTATAACTACTAGTAGTTTTATCATTTAACCTTTATACTAAATATAGAACCTAACATTAAATGAGACCTGGGCCAGAAAGACTAATACCACATGAGCTCACTTACATGTAGAATCTAAAAAAATTGAACCCATCCAGAGAAAAATGTGGTTTCCAAAGGACAGGTTGGGGAATGGGATTATGGAAAGATGTTAATCAAAGATTCAGAAATTTTACTTAGGAAGAATGAGTTCAATTTATTTTATTACATGCTATTAATAATTATAATATGCTTTAATTTCTGAGTGTTGACCTTTAAAAGTTTTTTATTACACAAAAAAGGATGAGTGTGTGAGGTCATGGTTATATTGAATAGCTTGATTTGTGTGTGTGTGTGTGTGTGTGTGTGTGTGTGTGTGTGTGTGTTGCTCCTCTGCTTTGGAGATCTGACATTGTTTTAGGTTTCCCCCCATTGCATTTTTGTAGTAAAGAAAAGTAAGAGTAATTTCAAATTACGTTATTTTGAATACTTGACATCTTAGATATTCACCTATATAATCTTCACCTGATCATAAGGAATTCTTTCAATCATATGGTCTGCACACCTTTTCTCATTAACTTAGTTATATTTACCAATAGCATAAGATTCTGCATAGTGCAAGGGCCTCTAACTACTTGTAATGAAACATCAGTTTTTTAGGGTCAGAAAAAGATATTAAAAATGAGTTCCATTTTGAAGTATAATTTTTAGGCATTTACTACAATAATTATATTCTTTATTTTTCTAGTTATAACCGCTGGTTATGCCAAGCAAGATCTGAGGATCTCTCTGATATTGCTTCTCTGAAAGCCTTGTACCAAACAGGTGAGCTCAAGGGCAGCTTACTCTTTTGCTAGTTCAGGACCTGACCCAGTGTGAGACTTGGCTTTTCTCTGATTTTCTCTATTTTATCTGTGAAATATTTTACACTTCTTCAGGGTCTTAAAAATAATCATTTCAATCTCTAATATATATTTTTTACTGTCTTAGCATTGCCAATAGCATATTTCTTGGAAGTGTTTTTCTATTAAAACGTTTTTCTGTTCAAAAAGTACTATGAATTTGCTATTACAAAATTCAAATTTTACATAAACATGTAATGGAAAAGCTTTGTCACTTACAAATGACAAAGCTCTCACATTCCCACTTTTTCCATTATACTTTTTCAGGCAGTGCTTATTAATTTTCAAATCTGAGAGCTATTTAGTTTTTCCTAGATCACTAACATTATCAAAAGTTGTGGTAAACTTAAAGAAAAAAGTTATTTGTAAGAAGATCATAGATTATTGCTAATTTAAAGTCTTTTTAAAAAGCCTTTAATCCCAGCACTGGGGAGGCAGAGGCAGGCAGATCTCTGGGAGTTCAAGGCCAGCCTGGTCTATGTAGTGAGTTCCAGGACAGCTGGGGCTACAGGGAGACCCTGCCTCAAAAAGACCAAAAAAAAAAAAAAAATCTTAAAACAGTGATCAAAATCTCATAAGACTTTTAAAACGAGAAAGTGTTTTCTAGACTATAAAAGAAATCTAAATGATAAAATTTGAGGAACTTAGTACTTTCTAGTTTCTAATTTTTTTCCCCCCTTTTGGTCTTTTTGAGACAGGTTCTCTCTGTAGGTCCAGCTGGCCTGAAACTCACATAAATCCACCTGCCTCTGCCTCCCAAGTGCTGGGATTAAAGGTGTGTGCCACCACGCCCAGCAAGGTTTGTAATCTTTTAAATGCATAGAATTTTTTTTGAATAGTCAACACAGAAAAAATGATGATCTTGGAATAAAGTTTCTGGTTGCTGATTACATCTCCTCTTTGTAGGTGTGGATAACTGTGGTCGCACAGTGATGGTGGTAGTTGGAAGAAACATTCCTGTAACACTGATAGATATGGACAAGGTAAACTATAAATGGTTTGTTTTACAAATAGGAGTAATTTTAAAAGTACATAGACTATCAGGTAGGTAGTCAAGACCCACAGCATGAGATGAGGTTGAATTGTGGATCTCTAGGACAGTAACATCCCTAGTTCTGAGAATCAGCTTGTATCATTTCAAATAAGGAAGGGGTTTGATTTTCCTCTGTAGAAGAAACATACCAGAAAGCTGTACTATCTCCAGAAACAACTACTTTGGATATGATATAACTGGCCAGCTTTTGGTTAGAATCATCCTGAATTGTAATTGTACAATCAAATTTGTGCTTTTTAAAAGAAGAAAAAGAAAAATTAACACGAGTATCTGTCTGAAGAGAAGATATCAATATTCTGTAATCCCTTCATTTGGGGACATAGAACAGAAGTAGATAATATCTAAATGAAAATGTAGTTGCAACTAGTAAATAAAAATGAGAAATTGTTCTCATTTTTAAACTGACTAGTAATAGTAAAGGGCAAGTCAACATGTCATTTTCATCCTCAGAATTAGCCAGAACTTGTAAATAATAATCATTTTCTTCAAAGATAATTTGAAACTATTAAAGTTGCACCCATTGACCTAATAATTCCATTCCTGAGACTTCATATTAATAAAGTAAGCCAAAAGATAGACGTAGCATAAGTTTGGAAATTGCTGGAAGTGTTTCACACTGGGGAGTGTAGGTCCAAGAGGTAAATTACAGATCTCCAGTCAACATTCCAGCAGGTAGAGTAATTGAACTTAGTGCATTATTTTAAAAAACAGAAGACTGAACATGGTGGTACACACCTTTGATCCCAGCACTCCAGAGGCAAAGGCAAGCAAATCTCTGACATTGAGGCCACCCTGGTCTACATAGAAAGTTACAGATCAGCTGGGGCTAAAGGGAGACTGTCTCAATATGATTCCCTTGTTTTGAGGAGAATGAATGTACGTTCATCAACTTTTTCTTGCATGACTATTTCTGGTTTTTATATGAGAGTGGAATAAGTTATAGATTGGGAATTTAAAGCCAAAAGAAGTGTCATCATTTGCCCAGGCATGGAAGTTAAAACTGAATGGGAAGAAGACAAAGTAGTCTGGTCAGAGGTGAAATCAGAATATTAAAAATAAACCCACTCACATAGAGGGAAAAAAAACACCTGGGGAGGCTGGAGAAATGGTTCAGTGGTTAAGAGAACTGGCTGCCCTTGCAGAGAACCTCGGTTTGGTTCCCAGTCCTACTTGTCAGCTAGCAACCACCTGTATTGTATCTCCAGTTCCAGGAGATCCAGTGCCCTCTTCTGGCTTCCATGGGTACTGAACACATATGGTGCACTTACATACATGTAGGCAAAACACATACGTGCAGGCAACACTCATACACATAAAAGAAAAATAAAAGCCCACTTGGTGGCAATTACAAGTTTCTGTTTGCAGCCATTTGTGTTCTTAATCTGTGTGACGTTTGTTCTCCTCTCAATAGTACAGGGCTCCAATAAAAAATGGAAGTCCTTGCATTTGATTTTGGGGTATACTTACATAACATCCCTAACATATAATGTGTCATGTCATATAAATAATAAGATTTAGTGTAGGGTTCAAACCAGCAGGCACCTATGAAGAGACCATTTTTAATTCCCTCCATTCTTGTGTCTGCAATTGAGTCATAATCCATGTTTATGCCAAGGACTCACCTGAGGGGAAATTGGGCAGCAACTGCTTTGTGGTGATCCTTCCAGTTAGTGTCTCTGGGCTTCCTCTTTGCAGTCACGTACAGCTAAGTCACTGAGTCACACTGGTCCTGCTTGTGTTATAGCTCTTGTTTTTAGTATTTCTGTTACATTTCTTAAAATAGAACACATCTCTAGCCAACCTGCGTCATGTAAGATAAAGTCTCTCTGAATTCTGGAAATGCTACCCAACATGTTGTCATCTACCAACAGACTCATTCAGATAAACATTTGAAGTGCTAAGAAAACTAGCTCTTGAAGGGAGCCATGTAGAAACTGCTCCAGATTCCTTAGCGTACTCCTTGGTTACATTGCAGCCACGGGTCTGTATTTGGGGAGTAACTGCAAAGATTTTTATTGACTTCAACAAGAAACTTCAAGAGTATTAAAATTCTAGAAATGCTGCTTCTAGAGGTTTTGTTGTCATTCTAGAGAGGGGAAAGCTGGTAGCTGATCCTGGAGCACTTCCTGTGACCTAAAGACTTATTTCAGGAGGTAGAGTTAGTGTCCTTTTCCATCACTTAGAACAAGCAGCAAGGGATTGTGTCACTAAACTCTGGGATGATTCACTCTCCTGAACATCCTTCCATTCTCATCTGTCCATCTGCAATGACTGGGGCTTAATCTTAGAGGAGGGCCTTCGTCTCAGCCTCTGAAATAAACTACTGTGCAGAATGATCTATTATTCCTCTCTTTCTTTTAGGCTCTCTTATATTTTATCCATGTAATGGATCACATTGCTGTGAAGGAGTATGTGTTAGTATATTTCCACACACTGACCAGCGAGTACAATCACCTGGACTCTGACTTCCTGAAGAAACTCTACGATGTTGTTGATACCAAGTTGGTAGTGTTTTAAAACTATGACAGGGGCATGGTTTCTTTATTTTCTAATTAAGCATTAGCAAACATGCATAAATACCCTGTGACAGGATCTTTTTATGTAAGAAAGATTTTTAATCATATGACAGATATTTTAATTATAGGAGTCCCTCAATTCAAACCTACTTTATATTAAACTAAACTCATATATAATCTTCCATTTTTATACACCTTAGAAAAGGTGTAAAATAACAAAAATACTGCCTTGTATTGCTATGGTATGTTAACACTTAGCCAAAATACATTTATAAATATTTAATTTGATCCATCACCCATGAGTTTGTTGGAAGAGATACTGGTATCAGATTCGAGGGACTTTGCCCCAGTGACTGTAGACATAAAAACAGACTGAGCACAAACTCTCAGGTAAAAGTTTTAATTGGAAGGAAAAGGGTTGAAGCAAAGGGAACAACGATGGTTCAGGAAATCCAGGCTGTCCACTAATAGGGAAGAGCAGGCATTTTGTGGGGTTCTTAGATTTGGGGTTCCTAGTCATAATGGTGGAATGTTTTATGAAATTTCTTCCTTTTAGTTTAAGTGGACTTACTGCATCAGATAAGATTAGTGGCCAGTTTGTCTCTGGAGACGCTGGCTTTACCCTACTCCCGGTGAGTCCTTTCTTGGTGACTAGGTAAGGGAATTCCGGAATGAGACATTCCACACATTGTTAACAAGAGAACAGAGAAACTGGGAGGTAAAGGGCTTTGGATCAACGATTTAAGGATGGGAGAATCTAAGTTTTTATCCCCAATGAATGCCCGTTTTATTTTAATACTCCCTGTGTTTGAAAGATAGGAGAACAGAGAATAATGGCATTTATTGCCCGTGGTGTCACAATTGAAAATATAGAATTTGGGCTTAACAGACAACTGACATGGAACTAGAAAATTATTTTCATTAAATTATCTTTCCCTTGAGGTAATAATGGAAATCTTAACTGGAAAATGTATGACAGCCCCCACACACCCCCCAAAAGATCAAACCTGATGCTTTGCATTTTTTCTCAATGATACATTTCCTAAATAAAAACAGCATTCTACCTTCCCTGGTAGTGATTTGTTGTTTGGCATCAGTGTTGGTTAGGATGAAAAAACATTATCTGGTTTAGGGTACAAAGAAGGTAGGTTACCATGAATTTCCATGGTTTCACTGTTCCATTAAATCTCACCTTAATTAGCAATGGTAATGCTTTCATTATCCAACAGACTCCTATTTAATTTGCTTTGAATGTATTTTATGTATGTAAGGAGCTACACTCTACTGTACACCTACCTCTGCCACTAACTCGCTCTTCAACTGGAGTAGCCCTCAGCTGGAATAGGAGTTTGTATTATTTCTCTAACGTCCTTTCCAATTAACTTCATCTAACCCAACCGTTATTAAAACCACTGGAAAAGGGAATCAGATGTGCCTTCAAAAGCTTCATGACTGTTGATAATGATTCTGGAGCCAAGAGGCCCACGTTCAGCTCCTGGCTGTACCTCTTGATCATTGAATGACTTTGAGAGGGTTAAATCAGAGGCAGTAATAGTACATACTCAGAATCGTTAGATGAATTCAGCAGAACGCCTGTGTATGATTTGAGTTACACAGTAAACTACTAACACTATGATGACTGAAACTTTAGTTCCTCTGTCTTACTATAATTTAAGGTTTCAAGGTGATTCAGTTTCATTTACTTATGCTCAAAGACTATCATGATATAGGAAATTATGGACTAATTTTTTAACATATGAAAATAGGCAGTTTAAGCCAGTCATATGCCTTTAATCCCAGCACTCGGGAGGTAGAGGCAGGTGGATCGCTGTGATTTCAAGGCTACTCTGGTGTAGTAGTGCGTTCCAGGCCAATTGGGGCTACGGGGAGACCCTGTCTCAAAAAGAGCCCCCCCCCCAAAGGCAGTTTAAATAATGAAATGTTCTCTTAATTATTTTTGATATTTCACTTAGAATTCAATACATAAACTGTTTTTTAGAATATTTTCCTCTATATGAATATATCTATATACTTAAGCAAAAAGTTTTCCATAATGATAACTAGTTTTAGATATGACTATATTGACTGTCTTATTTGTTTTGATTAGATACAAGAGGAATTTGAAGGCTGTTTATTTTGTTCATCCAACATTTCGTTCAAAGGTACAGTATTGGTCTTTTTTTTTTTTTTTGGCTAATCTTGAATTTAAGTATACTGCAGGTTCAGAGCACTACGACAAACTTCAGCATCCTATTCTTATTGGAGCTGTGTGACTGCTGATTTGTTGGCCTTTCCTCATTAAGTCCAAGTTGTTGTGTTCCTAATGTTCTGGTTGTGTCTGACTCTGTCATCCTCAGCTCCTAGAGGTCATCGGACGTAGGGACTCTGTTTAAGTTGAGAGTCACCATTAAGCAAAGGGCTTTAACTCTGGTTAATGACTAAAATCACAGAGAGCTTAGAGCAAAGAGGTTAATTAAAGAGATAGTCCCTAAGGTTAGAGAAGAAGACCAGAAAAAAATAATTTAAAAATGAGTAGGAGAACCAAGATAGACTAATGATGCAGAGGCTGGCAGAGGGGGAAGTATCGAGTGTGGTCGGCACAGCCGTTACTGTAAAACACTGAAAGTTAAGACAAATTCTGGAAGGTTCTCATTTCACACTTAGATGAGTGAGCCTTCTATGAGGGCATGCTTTTCACTTTAAGGTTTGTCATTACACAATTACTATGCTTCTCATCCACACGTCATTTAAAACTTGCGCTATTTAAGTAATTAAAAATTGCAAGTTTCCTTTTAGTCTCTCAGTTTTGAAATAGCACAGTAAAGTCTAAATTAATGCTTATAGGATGAATGTATCTAGCAATAGATATGCCAGTTACTCTCATCTGATTATTGCCCAGTGTATACATGTATCAAATCATCACATTGCACCCCATAAATACGTATATTTGTTGTGGTACCAGCTAAAAAATAAAGACAGACTTTAAATTAAAATGTATGATGCATGAACTGTCCTGGTTCAGTGAAGTCTGATTACATGGTCTTCTTGGTGTGCTTTTCTGTTAGATTAGCTTTCCTATCATTTTGCTATATTCGGTAGGTAATGAATTCCTTTTTCCTGCAGTTCTTGAAGAAGTAGTGCTTAACTAGTGCCCCAGATTTCAGCATCCATCTATTTTTTGTTAAGTAGTACCTACTGAACATCTTCTTTAGTTGAGACAACAAAAAGTTTATCTTGCTCTTTAGTGTATCCTTGCAAAAATCACTGCTTTTAGTACTTCTGTTTAATATACTGAAAGGTCTAGCCATTACAATATGGCAAGAGAAAGAAACAAAAGGCATCTAGGTTGAAAGAGAATAAATTAAGATGTAATCATAGATAAAATGAAATGTCCCTATAGAAAACCCTGTATAATATTCCCAGCAAAGCTACTAGAACTGAATGAGTTTGACCAAGGTCTTAGGTTATACAAACAAATATTCAAAAGTTAATAGCAGATAACCAACTTGAAGATTTAAAGCAGTGCCATATGAACATCGAATAGTAAGTGCTCAGGCATAAATCTTGACAAAAGATGGGAAAGAGTTGTGAATGGGATGGGTAATTGTCACCTCTTGTAAACCTGTAAATGCAGCTCAAATCCCAATGAAAACTTCAACCAGTGTTTTTATAGGAATTGGCCACTTGACTCTAAAATTCATGTGAAGATGTAAGGAATGTAGTCAACTTTGGAAAAGAAAAATTGGAGAGCTGATCTTACCTTTTTCTAAAGCGAAAACCATGCGTGAGGTATTATAAAAGTCAACAATTAATGGAACAAATTAAAGACAGACATAAATGTAAAGTTTTACAAGTTCTAGAAAATAAAGGAGCAAAACCTTTGTAACCTTGAGTTGAACAAAGAATTGTTAGATGCAGCACCACAACCATAATCCACAAAATGAAACTAGGCTTCATCAAAACTTAAAACTTTGCTTTCTAATGGAACTGTTAAGAGAATATAAAGGCAAACCTCAGCCTGAGAAAGCAATTACTATAAACCAAATATCTGATAAAGAACTTGTATCTAGAATATAAAGAAGTCTCAGGGGACTAGAGCAATGGCTCAGTGATTAAGAGCACTGGCTACTGTTGCAGGACCTGGGTTTGATTCCCAGTACCTACATGGCAGCTAACAACCATCTGTAATTCCAGTACGAGGGGATCCAGTACGCTCTTGACCTCCATAAGCATTGCATGTACAGGTGCACCTACGTACATATAGGCAAAACATCTGTACACATAAAATAAATATAAATAGGTCAAAAAAAATTTAAAGTCTCAGAAACCTAAGAAACAACTCAATTTAGAAATAGGCAAAAGATTTGCAAACACTTCAGAAAGATGATGCTCACATGGACAAATAAGCATAAAAAATGTTCAGCATAGTCATTAGAAAAATACAAGTCAAACTGCAGTGAGGTATGGAGGGACCACACCAAACGTACTGAGAATGTGGAAGAATGGTACCTCTCACCCAGTGCTTTTCACAATATAAAGTGATAGTCTGGAGAGGGCTCAGTGGTTAAGAGGGTATGTTGCTCCTCCAGAGGACCCAAGTTCAGTTCCCAGCAACCATGTAGGAGAACTCACAACCGCCTGTAACTCCACCTCCAGGGGATCCAACACCCTCTTCTGGCCTCCACAGGCACCCTCACACATAGTATACACACACACACACACACACACACACACACACAAATAAGAAGAAAAAGAATATAAGATTTTGTGGAACAATTTGGCAGTTTATTTTAAATGCTAAACATGTCCTACCATGTGTCAAGAGTTATTCCACTAGGTATTTACCCAAGATAAAGGAAAACATGTCTATATAAAGCCTTCGCACAAATACTTCTAGCATCTTTGTGATATCAAAAACCAGAAACTTACCTGAGCATGGTGGCACACACCTTTAATCACAGCCCTGGGGAGGCAGAGGCAGTCAGATGTCTATGAGATTGAAGCCAACTTGATCTAAATAGCAAGTTCCAGGCCAGCTCAGCTACAAGGAGCTGGTCTCAAAAGAGACAAAAAAAAGAAAAAAACCTAGAAATGATAACAAGCTGTGGTCTATCCATATCATAGAATAATACTTAGCAATAAAAAGAATGGACTGTTGAGGTATGTAACAATATGGATGAATCTCAGAATCCCTATGCTTAACCTGGCATAGTGGAGCATGCCTATAATGCCAGCACTCAGGACACTGAAGCAGGAAGATCATGGATTCAAGGCCAGCCTGGGCTACATAGCAAGACCCTTTCAGTAATAATGGAGCTTAGTAAAGGAAGCTAGACCAAAAAGAGTACATATGTTTAACTGTATTGTGTATAAAATTCTAAAGAATACAGAGTAATTTATAATTATGGAAGGCAAAGCAGTGGTTGCCTGTGGGCTGAGAGAAGGAGCAGGAGGGAGAGATCACAGAGGACCCTGAGAAACGTTGGGTGTCATCAGTATATTCATCTTCTTGACTGTGAAGCCTTCATAGGTATGTTTGTGTATGTACATGCATGTACATAGGTTAAATTGTATATTTTAAATATATGTAGTTCATTTATTTATTATACCTCTAAAATTTTGAATGCTAAAATGCCACCAGAATGGCATTGCCAGATCTCACCTGTTTCATGAAGCAAGTGGAATTCTTATATTATACATGGAAATGAGAAATTGTACAACCACTTTCCAAAAAGTCATGCAGCTTATTGTGAACTAATCACATACCCAGACTGACTTGGCAGTTCTACAGTAGGTATTTACTCAAGTCAGCTGAAGGCGTGTGCCTACAGAAAGACATGGCTGTAGCAGCTTTAGTCAATAATGGAATATTACTTAGCAATAAAAAGAGGTACACTCCTGATAACACACAACATGGATGAATCTTAAAAACATATGTCTTACATAAAGTTAAAGAATCCTTACATGAAATAGTCCTTCTGTGGGATTTCTTTTAGATAAGGTTCTAGAACAGACAAAGCTAATCTGGTAGAAAAAAAGATCAAAGCAGTGCTTGCTTCTGGGTAGTGGAACATGACAGAAGAAGGGCATGCAGGAGTCATGGAAGTGGTTTTTACCTCCATGTGTGTTACTGTCATAGCTGTGTGCATTCGACTAGCAGCAAAAATATACTTATATTTGTACATTTCACTCAGTGTCATACAGAGCAAAGAAACTAAACATACTTCAAACTTAAGTGCAATCATGTATTTGGGGAGGGGTGACATTTTGAAAAGTTACAGTAAAGTGACATAGATAGATACGTAGATAGGTAGAGATAGATGATGATAGATAGATGATAGATAGATAGATAGATAGATAGATAGATAGATAGATAGATAGATGAATAAATATATAGTCAAGAAAATATAAGGAACTTAGCCAGGCATGGTGGCTCATGCATATAATCCCAGCACGAGGGAGGCTGAGGTAGGAAGGTGGCAAATTTTTGGCCAGTCAGGGCTATAAGGTAAGTTCCAGACCAGCCTATGAAAAGACCTTATCTCACAAAAAATTATATCTTTTTTAATAATAAAAAAAATCCTAATTTTCTTTACCTGTAGCCACTGTTTGCTACCATCTAACTTAACCCCTTCATTTTCCACACTAGAAGATCAGTAAATAGCTGTCTTTCCTGCAATATCAACAGGACAGTACCAGAAACTTGACAGTCAGGTCCACCAGGCTCGGCCATCCCACATAGAATTGCTTCTCATGGGGGTTGGT